CACACACACACACACACACACACACACACACACACACAGACCTATTGCATTCAAAACCATAGACTCACAGTGGAAATGGAAATGGTGGGAAACCTAGAGCTGGAAATGTCTAGAGAACATGGAGAAACTGAGGCCCACAGAAGCAAAGGCCCTTTTCCAATCCAGGGCTCTCTAGTTAACTGCTTGGGATTGTTAGCTGACTTTCCCTTGGGAAACTTGCATCAAAATTGTATATGTTTTCCCAAGTGACTTTCTTGTCTTTCTCCCTATCAAGTTCCTCCTTTGCCAAAGGAGGGGAGGAAGGGAAAGATAAAGAAATAAGGAGAAAAATGTATAGAAGGGAAAGAAAGAAAGAGGAAAAGAAGGAAGTGAAGAACAAGAGAGAGGGAAAAAGAAGCAGCCATTGAAGGAAGTTGATACGGCTCAGTTTGCTGCATTTAGTCTTTGTACAGAGGGAGGCAGCACCACGTTATCGTAGAGAAAATCCCGGTGGCACCCTGGCAGTTCCCCTTCCACGTCCCTCCTGAGCTCAGTCTTTCCACCTTCCTCCCCCATCTCCTCTTGCCTCTCCACCTGCCTACCTTCACTGAAGACAAAATCAGAGATGATATCAAAGGGCTGGATGTGGACTGCAGACAGGATCATGGTGACGGTCTTCTGCGAATCGCTGGAGGCCAGTGAAATGGTCTGCTGGGCTTGACACTCGTAGGACTTCCCAGCTGGGGTGACCAAGGCAGAGAGGTGATGCGAGTTGGCTGTGTGCTTCCCGGCTGCAGGGAAGGCCCAAAGCAATAGTTAGGCCCCTCTCTCTGGCAGAACCCTCCTCATGTGCTGGATAGCTGGCTCTCAGCTCCAGACTCCCCTCCAATCCTCTGTGTTGCCTTGCCCAGCTGGGGCTCTGCTGATGACATCGGAGGGGTGAATGCACCCATTCTTTCATGAGCAGGGAGTCTCCTTAAGTATTAATTTGGAATTCATTTTTGAAAGAGGAGAGGGATACCTAAAACCTAACCCTTTTAACTATATAAAACCTAACAACAGAGATTCCAAAGACACAGAAAGAACAGGGACTTGATTTTACACATCTCACACTGGCCTGCAAAAAAATAAAGCATCTTCCTCAGCAAAGCATGACTGCTGTTAGTGCTCTGGGCAGACACCCTTGCACACAAACTTATCCGTTGGAGGCCTCCCCCAACCCCTGTTCTCCTTTTCTGAGTTAGGGGTTTTGTTTGGTTTTGTTTTGGTTTTTGGTCTAATTTAACTGTGGGAAATGTTTGCATATGGATTTTGGTGAAGAGATGCCCTTTTTACCGTGATGAAAAGGGAAAGATCACATATGTATTCTTGTAGACGTTCAATAAAAATCTTTTCACTATTCAGGTGCCCAGAGCATGGAAAGTTTCATTATGAGTAGATCATACAATTTACAAAATAAATGCATTAATTTAAATGTGGTCTTTGATGGCCCCTGCAGATGCCAGCACTAACTGGAGCTTGCCACGATATTTTGGGGGGTTCTGGGTGTTCCTCTTGCCACTATATTTTTGGGGGTTCTGGATGAGTTGTTGGAGTGATGGGCAGGAAAGGTTAATAAATTAGGAAATGTTCAGAATCCACTCCCGGGTGGCTGCAGTGGTGAGGCCTCCTGCCAAGGGCCAAAAGAGCTGAAGGCCATGAAATTCTGACCGAAAAGGAAAGTCATACACAGCCCCTTTGAAGTTTAAGCACGAAAGGAAAAAAAGGGGTGCAAAAGACAATAAAAAATGCAGCCTTGCCCTTCTTCGTGCGCCTTTAAAGGACAAGTGGTAAGAAGGTCATCCTGCAGCAGCCACCGGAAGACAGGCCCTCAAGAGACACCTCACCCAGGATCAGGCGCTGGGTGACGGCTGGGTTCCCTGCGCGTCTACAGGTCCAGAGAACCAGCAGACCCACAGCGCTCCGGCTTCCTCCGCCTTGGAGAGCAAGCCTAGGGCGGACTTGGCCAGGGAGTACAAGGCTGGATCCGTTTCCAAAACCCTGGAGGAATTTAGCCTGCAAGCCTGCGATCGCCTGCCCTCAGTGTCTGAGTTCCCCAGGCTCCCTCCCCAGCCGCGTTATCCTCTACTCACCGGCCACTGCGTCTTTAAAATGGGTCTTCTCCGAGGAGTCGTAGACAAACTGGACCTTGCTCAGCCTCCACGTCGCCTCGGGTCCCTTGGACATGTTGTGACTTTCCTGCTGAGCGGGGGAAGAGCGTTAGCCGCCCCCGCGAATCTGGGTGGGGAAACCCTAGGGCGGCCCCTGCGCCCAACCCTCCCGGAGTCTGACTCCCTCTCTGCGCGCCCCGCCGCAGTTACCTTTACAAACAGCATTTTGAGTGCATACGCGCGATCCACCCAGAACACCTGCAGCTCCGACTCGTTGTGGCCACAGCGACCCTTCACCTCAGCTCCCCGGGTCAGTGAGATATCAGCCTGTTCCGTGAGCAGCTGGGAACACAGACGCCCCGCATCCCCCTCAGCG